TTGAAAATTTAATAATATATTAATGTTGGAATCTCCAAGCTGAAGAAACTGTTGGAGTTGAATATATATTTTTGGAGATTTTAACTTTTTCTTCTCCATTATATAATATATGTTTTCTACGAGTTATATATATTTTTTGTTTCTGATTCTGCATCATCTATTTGTGATCAGGAYCGTACTGCGCGTATCTGGAAGCTTCCAGAATTAACTCCTGGTGTTGTACTAAGAGGACACAAAAGAGGAATCTGGTCTGTAGAGTTTTCGCCAGTTGATCAGTGCGTTATAACAGCTTCTGGAGATAAGACCATARAGATATGGGCCATATCAGATGGTTCATGTCTAAAAACATTTGAAGGGCACACATCGAGTGTATTCAAAGTTCAATTTCTCACTCGTGGGGCACAGTTCGTTTCTTGTGGTAAGAAAGCGTTTTTATTAACTCGTAKGTAAATATGATCATCTTCATGTTTTTACCCAATAATATCGATCATTTGATCTGTCATCTAGGTGCTGACGGTTTGGTAAAGCTCTCGACCGTAAAGACAAATGAATGTGTTGCAACTTATGATCAACATGAGGACAAGGTTAATAGACTGCTTTTTTGGACTTAAGTTTATATGATCAAAATCAAATAACTGCCATTMTGTGTAAAGGGTTACCGTAAGTTGATTGGACGCTTTAACAAGTTTTTTAAAACAATTTTGAAACAAAGCATTCTATTAGTTTCTTTATATAAACATTATTTGAAGAAATATTTTATAAAAACAATTGTTCTATTCTATGAAAAGATGTGTTAGTAGGACACTTCTTAAAAGTATCATGTAAAAGAGCTATTAGGACGCATTATTTCAAAAAAAAAAAAACGTGCCAAATACGTCCTAGTTGCATCTACAACATATTCTCCGAAATTTCTTTAAAAAAACAGAAAAGTTGTTGATCTGGTATGTTTGCTGATCATCTTTCTTGCTTTTTTTGCTATAATTTTCTTTCATCATAACGCGCTATTTCTTTATTGGAATTTTATCTCTAGGTGTGGGCCTTAACTGTGGGGAAGAAAACAGAAATGTTGGCAACTGGTGGCAGTGATGCTGTAATCAATCTGTGGCATGATTCTACTGCTGCAGATAAAGAGGAAGCATTCCGGAAAGAGGTAAACATGTCTGATCATAGTTTCAGTGACAAATTTGTTTGCTTCTTTTGATAAACACCATTCCGTTTCTATACCTAAATTAATGAAAAYGGATGTGTCGAGAGACTTCTTTAGACTGTTCATAAACTACTAGACTCCATATTTAATCTCAATGGAGTTCGTCAATGCATGCACAAAATGTGCAATGGTTTTGGCATGTTAGCTTATTTTTTGAGCTTGTTGAAAAAGCCCCTTTTTGGTAAGTCGTAAACTAGCTTATAACAATGGAGTGACTAACAAGAACCTCCTTTTGGAGAGGGTAAAATGCAAAAGTTTTCCCTAGTTCCTATTAGTGTAACAAATAATTTTTTTTTCCTTCAATCAACATATTGAACTTCCGTATTTTCCTATTTAATGTAACAATGTTCTAAAATTTCTTATCTTTGCTCTATTGACCGTTAACATGTTAATCTTGTATCATCTGATGATGTCAAGTTTGTCATCCACTTTGTTGTAACCCTTTTGCAAACGGACATCTGCATCATCAAATRTTAAAGATCAACAAGTTACAGGTCAAAAAATGGGTACAAAAACAGGAAAATTTGAAACTCTGTTACAGATTGAGATAAAAAWTTCTACATAAGAATTAAAGCAAATATTGTTATATTTTGATGCATTTTGCTCTTTTTGAACCCCTACTTGCAGTAGGGTTTCAATAAGCTCCCACTTTTTATCCAATTATTCCCCAAATATTTTTCTAGTTAATTTTTCAACATGTCTTTTTAGGTCGTTTTACATAGTTATCTAGCTTATGAACTCGTTTTGTATCGTGACTAGTTTATCAGCAAACAACTAGGTGTCAACTTGCAAATCATAGACAGATTCATGAAATCTAATTCTGTTKTAAATGTTTCACTTATGCAGGAGGAAGGTATATTGAAAGGCCAAGAGCTAGAAAATGYTGTATTAGATGCCAACTACACCAAGGCCATTCATCTTGYGTTTGAGCTCCGTAGACCACATAAGCTGTTTGAGTTATTTGCCGAACTTTGCAGGTTAAAACACTCCAATTTAATCTCATTTGCATATGATACCAATTATCTGAAACTGAAATGTCCTGCAGGAGGAAAGATGCCAATGATCAGGTAAAACAAGCTCTTGGTGTTCTTGGCACCGAAGAGTWCCGCCAATTGTTGGAGTACATTAGAGAATGGAACACGAAGCCGAAGCTATGCCACATTGCCCAGTTTGTGCTTTTTAAGGTTTTCACCATCCTTCCACCAACGGAGATAATCGAGGTATTTACTAAACCAACAGTACAACGGTTTTATAGCAGCTTAATGAACTTAATGGAACTTGCAACTTATTCGGTTAGCTATACATGACTGTTTGGTAGTGGCTTAATGATATAGAAAGTGACTTATTCGGTGAGCTTCTARGGGAGWGCTTTATGCATAAAGTCAAGTTTTTTGCAAACTTGCCCCTCCTAATTAAAAAACACGCTTCTCTTATCTCGGAAGAAACCCTCACAAACTAAAACCTTCCAGATCCATACAAGGGTTAGGTGTTGTTAATTTTTTTTTCCATGAAGTTTTGTATGAGTTAATTTGTCTGTCTTGATAAGTTTGTTTGTCTAAGGGACGGGAGACAAATAGGTTTGCGGGACGTAGAGAGAGAGGGTTGGATTATTTTTGGGGCATATTTGGTTTTAATTTGCTTGAACTAGCTTAACGGAACAAATGAGTGGTCCTGGCTTATTCAATATATTCGTTTTGGTTTAATGGCATAGTGAATAAGCCGTAAAGGAACGCCCCCCATGTCTGACTGAATAAGTCGCTCAGATCATTAAGCTTATTAAGCTGTAAGTAAACAATCCCGTAAGTGTTCTAATAGACTGCTTTGTAGGACTTCAATTTTCTTGAACCAAACAGTTGCACCTCATATGTAAAGGTGCTACCATAAGTTTATAAGATGGTTTTGGTGCTACCATAAGTTTATAAGATGGTTTTCAAATTTTTATGATATCTTCAAATTTTTTTATATTCAAAAGTAAAAACATTATTTTTCTCAAGACCACATAACTATATTATATCAACAGAGACTGAAAATAAAACGAAACGTTAAAATAAAGATGTATTTCGTTGCATTGCGCAAATACCCTTCTAGTCTTTTTTAATGACATTATTTGAAAGTGACTTATAAAAACAAGCGTCTTATAAAATATGTGCTTATGTTCTATTAAGAAAAAACTAATAGGGTACTTTATTTCAATGTGTCCTAAAAAACTTGTTTGGATACTTATAAAGAATAAAAATCCTATCAACTTATTATAATACTTTTACATAGGATGAACAATTGTTTGGTTCTATAAACTTAAGTCTTATGAAGCATTTTATTATGATATTTAGATATCTTTGGCGTCCTATAAAGCTGATTTTGTTGTAGTGCAAACGGGCCCAGTAAATCACATGAAAAGTGGGGTCTGATTATGCAAGTTAGAGGATGCTGAATTTTAGTAAAATTTACATTTTGTTTGTTTGTTTTTAAGATGAGAGGCATTGGAGAACTTCTTGAAGGGCTCATACCATATTCACAAAGGCATTACAGCAGGATAGATAGATTGGAAAGGAGTACGTTTCTGTTGGATTACACACTTAACGAGATGTCGATTGTCGAACCAGATATGGGTGTTGTTGAGGACCCGAAAGATGAGTCTCTGGTGGGTCCTACAGAAGCTGTCGCCAAAGGGCAAGAACGGGCCAATGAAGAAGAAGTTTCAAAGAAGCGGTCTTCAAAGAAACGGAAAGTTAAAATATTGAACGGATGGAACAAGAAAATCAAGGGATCGGTTCTACTGATGGTTCAGTTATTTCTGTAATGAAATAATTTGTTCTTTTTGTTGTTTTGGAATTTTGTTAGATCTTTAGAGCAAGATAGGATAGGTTTGAGTAGGTGCGCGGCGAATAGTGGTACCACTGTGAGAATGTAGACATGGGTCGGGAGTGGTGGTGGCGTTCGTGTAGTTTTCAAAATGTTATACTGTATGAAGTTAAACGGTTTGCAGTAAATGCCAACGATATTATAATTTGATATTAACAAAATATACGAAAATTTGGTTTTAAAATGTAACGTTGTTTTTAAGATCTTATAGTTTTAAAAAAATACATTATATATTATTTTGGTTCTAAAATCTAATGTTATTTAGTCTTGAATCATTTAGAGTTGGCTTTTGATGAGAAACGTAAGAAAAGATCTCCATCTTTGTATTAATTCTAATTGAATGCCAACACTAATGAGATGTATCGGATTAATTCCCTTCTAAAACGCAATTCATAGGTGGTCATGAGAAGGGTTTAGATTTCTTCTTATGCTTTTCATTATGACTTCTTTTCTCACATGATTTTTCACCGAATCATTAAGTCCCTGATATAGATGGAGAAGAAGATGATATGTGAAGGTGATGCGCGGTGGTTTTTTAGTTCGGAGATCAGTGTAGGTTATTAGTGTGCGTTGTGAATTCTGGTGATAAGGCATGTGATGTTCGATCTAGATATTTGGATTAAAGATCCGGATAAAATTGTTGGCTTTCTCAATAGCTTTCTTGGCCGGAAAAGCAGCTCCTAATTCCTATCTCGGTAGCTTCATCTTCTTCGGGAGCTGAGAATGCTTTTGCTGCCAAACTGGGAGGGGCAAAGAGGCTTACATGCCTTATTTAAAAAATGGAAAACACGTCTTTCTGGGTGGGGGTATTAAATCCTTAACTTCCCTAATTTTAATTTAGTGAGAAAGCGTATATACTTGAAGGAAGGCGGAATATTTCACCTCTCATCTGGAGTAGTTTAGTTAGTTGTCAATAGCTTGTGATTCAGAG